AGAGGTGAACTTGATATCCAAGTTGCTGCTGTAGATCCTGGTGCAAAGTGGGAAAGCAAACATCAATAACAACAATTTGCATATCTGTCATTAGAGAAAAAAATTACACAACTCTTTCAATGATAGATATACTGGGTGAGGAGACAGAATATCTGGATGATACATCCCCTCCTCCTTTCAAGCCATCAAAAAGTATATGCGGGTCAGTCTCCCATACATTGGGTAAATGTACTTTGTGATGTGGTATTAAGCAGTAAAAGATCAGGTTGCAGATTTTAAGGATCACTTTAGCAGGGGCTGCCAGCACCTGCCAACGATGAGTCACAAGTTTAGAATACTGTAGTTAAAAGGGAGAAATCCAGAGTGATGAGGGAGAGGGAGAATGCAGATTTAAATGTGTGAGAACAAATAAGCTTTTAAAACCTAAAAAGGTCAAGGCCACATCATAAACTCACTTGTCGCAGTATACATAATGTACAATGTACATCATTTCTATCACTCTACTAGAACAATATTAAATTAAAATACCCATTTTTCAGTGGGGTAACAATCAGTCTATGACCATTGTTTGATATATGATGGAAAATGTGCGTATCAAGTGGAGGGATGTTGGAAAAAAATATTTTCCATTTTTGGCACTCATCTGTAAGCACGTTCCAGATAAGGTGTACAGCTAGATATTAAGAAAAACAGTTTCTATTTTCTCCAAACAATATTTCTTAATGAGTAGATAAAACTATCTGAAACTGCACAGCATATCAATTGACACATGAAAGAAAAAGAAAGATTAATGGATTGGACCATTCTTCAGAATCAGAATGTTTAGGTTGGGAAAGAACCATTGAAGGGTCAGGTCAGACCAGCTCAAGAAAACAACCCTAAACTAACACAATTCTGCCTTCAATTTAAAATGAAATAACATTAGGCTTCACATTAATATTCCCAAACTAAGTCCTTACTGATCCTATGCAACAAGTGATCTTTAGAAGTGGGACCAGGTGGCCTTTCTTATACTGATCAGTCACCTGTATCAATTCATTTCTTCCAAGTTGTTTCACATTACTTTTTTTCCCCCTTACCGACACATATTTGCAAATAGGAAAATTATTGAATGTTGTTTCATTTCATTCTTCTCATAACTGGTGGAAAAAAGTACTTAATATTATGCTTATGCATCGTTATCGTAAGCTATTGCATATGTGATGCTTTTGATCAAAATGTGAAACACAATAATTGAGAAGCACTATACTCCTTTTGTAATTATCTGAGAGCATTGCATACAAGTCGACTACAATATTCCTTCATTACATTTATTTCTTTTGTCACTTTCATATTAACAATAGGATCTGAATAGTTATCCTTGTATTATTTTGTTACTAATTTGTTAGTGCAATTGGGATTTCCAGGCAGGTCACGGCGAAACCTTGGGTAAGTTTCCTTACTCCACACGCCTAATAATAATCCCTCCAAAACAAAAAACAATAAAATTGGTCATTTTCAATCTACGACTGTTTGTGGGACATTGCTGTGCGCAATTGGCTGCCGCGTTCACCCACAAATATACAGTCAATTCACTTTACAGTGTGTTCTGTGAAGCGCTTTGGGACGTCCTCCCGACGTGAAAAGCGCTATATCAAATGCAAGGATTATTATTATATTATTATTGTTCATGCAGGAATGTGGCTCATTCTCCTGCCAATTCTGTGAGAACCAGGAATCAAATAATTAACTGAAAGTCCATCAGCACGCAAAGCAATGTATTGTATCTTAAGGAATTGGTTTGCTTATTTTAAACAGTACCATGAAATGCTGGTTTTACAGTCAAATAAATATTCCTCTATTCAGCTACAATTTCGAAAGCATGTTTACAGCAGTTCAGTGGAATTGTTGAGAGAATTGGGGAAGGAAATGATTACATGCACACTTCACAATTTCTGAGCCCATTTCCTCTCTAGTATCAAAGAGGAAAAACACCACTCCAGTTTGTTTTTAGACAAACATACCGCAAGGTTTTGTTATTAGATATGTAAAATAATGGCACGAATTCTTCGTCAAAGCATTGATTATCATCAATCAGGGCAGGTGTTACAACAGACCTTCCGCTTCGAAGATTAAATACTGATGGCAGCTCCTTTGGTAGTTGCCAGTCTGTCCATCGTGAACAATAGAGGTGACAGGAGAAGACTTATTAGTTCGTGTTGAGATGTAAACAAAATCCAGCTAACCGTACTAATCACATTCATGAGGTAAAAGGTAATATTGTTATAAGAACAAGCTGTATATTGAAAATGAAGGATGACTGCCAGTCATTGAAAAAAATGACATATAGGGGTCCAGATAATTCAAAATGTGAAGCTCAAGCTATTTGCTATCATCTGAACTCCGAGACAAATTATTTTCATTCTAATAATTGGATCCGTTCAAGAAAAAAAAATACCGCTAAGAATTGACGTTGTCTTATGCTTTTTATCTAATTCCATTTCTGCATTTACTCGATAAATTAATTTCCAAGCCCTATATTTTTCCCCTGTAAAGAACCAATTGATTCTGCACTTATGTAGTGCATTTGCTGGTGGTTTACTGTCAGAAGGCCTGCTCTTATATTGAACAAAATAAACTTTGCCTTTAAAAATACTTAACTGGGGAGTAGAGGAAAATCTTTTTTGAAAAGTAAACTACGAGTACTGGGAACCACAGATTTGTTATTGTTATGAAAGCTTATGTTAAAAAGCCAATAAATAGTTATAAATTTCAAACGTATGGAAATAAATTCTGCAATTTTCCAACTACCCCCCACCTCCCCAACTCACCAAAATAGTGTTTAGATTCAGATGCATATATTTTCAAAAAGGGGGGTGGATTTAAGAGTGTGCGTATACACAAAAGGAGGATTTGTTTATTTGGCTGCAGTTTTCAGGCATACGTTGGAACAGATAATTATTCAGTGATGGGTCAGAATAAAAATAATTGTTGCATTTGATATAGCACCTTATTAGGTCTTCCAAGACATCTCAAAGCGCTTCACAGAACATACTGTAAGGTGGATTGACTGCATATTTTGTGAGTGAAAAGCAGCAGCCAATTGCGCACAGAAGTGTCCCACAAACAGTTGTGCATTGGATTCTATTTAAAGGGATAATTACCCTTGGAAAAGTGATCTGGCAATTGACTAACAACCAGGTTCCCCCTTACCTCTCGGTAAGGAAACTTGCCCAACATTTTGTTCTGCCTGGGAATCGAACCCAGGTCTTCTCGCTTGCCAGATGAGTGCTCTAACCACTAAGCTACAGGACTCCACAGAATGAATCACAAGTACAGGTAGTGTTAGAAAGGTTAGTCCAAATTACTGGCTAAATATTCTTTTGCTCGAAAAGCAACCGTATTACATTGAAAAGCCTTTTCGTATTAGAAAAGATGAATAAGAATAAAAGCAGAACATATTAAAATGCAAAGTGATGATACAACATCATACCAGATATAATAAGAACACAATGCTAAAAACAGTTTATGGCTGGTTTGCTCATCAAGCAAATGTCTGTTAGCTTGTGGGTCATACCAATCGTAGTCTTGTACATCCATATACGGTTAAAACAGTGCTGGCAAAGTAAGTAATAAATTATTAGTGCAGCTAGCTCATAACACACTGAGGAATGGTATTGATCATGGTAGTATTATGCCAAAAAGTGCACTATAAAGTCATGAAATGGAAGTAGAGAACACACTGTAATCTTTTATTGTAATGGTGATTTTAAAGAGGGCTCAGAAATGGTACTATAGTCATCAAATAGTTAAATATCTACATCATGATAACAGGGTTTGCAAATGTTTCATCATAGCACAAAATGTACTGAAAAAGTATCTGGGCTAATTGTGTGGTTAATCACACAAAAATGCAAAGAACATGCAGTTTCTTAAGCCAGGAAGGCAAAATCGGTCACGCATTAGAGGAATGCTCTGTATAAAGTTTTACTGTGGAGTCCCTCAGCTCAATGGTTAGAGCGCTCGCCTCGCAAGCGAGACCTGGGGTCTATTCCTGGCAGGGCGAAATGTTGGGCAAGATTCCTTACTCCACACGCCTGTTTACCAAGCAGTAAGTAGGAACCCGGTTGTTAATTAATTGGCGGCGGATCGCTTTTCCGGGGACAATAAATCCCTAAAAAAAAAATAATTTGGTCGCTCATTCCACGGTTGTTTGTGGGACACTTCTGTGTGCAATTGGCTGCCGCGTTTCTACCACAAATATAGTCATTTCACTTTACAGTAAATTCTGTGAAAAGCATTGAGATGTCTAGAAGATGTGAAAAGCGTTATATCAAATGCAAGGATTATTATTTAGTATTATTTATTCTCACATTATCCCAGAGTTTCCATCAAATAAGACAAATAAAATAATAATCTTGTATTGCGCACAAGTGTCCCACGTACAGTTGTGGATTAAGTGAGCAAATTATTATTATTTTTGAATGATTACTGCCCTCGGAAAAGCGATTCTGCAATCGACTAACAACCAGGTTCCTACATACTGCTAGTAAACAGAGGTGCGTGCTTTAAGGAAACTTGCCTAACATTTCGCTCTGCCTGGGAATCAAACCCAGGTACTCTCACTTGCAAGGCTAGTGCTAACCACTAAATTACAGGACTCCACTCTGATATTTCTCCAGAGGTGTGTGAACTCAAATTATGCTTGCTTAACCAATAGCACTGATCAAAATAAGTAGTTCAAGCAAAATGTAATACAGTACATTGTGCATATACACATTCTTGTTTATAAACATCCAAAAATAAATACCTCATGAATATGTGCAGCTTATTTTCAGCAATTTATAGAATTCTATTACTAATTCTAATCACCTGCCACAGCATATTTTTCAGTTTAATAATTGTCAGCATTCAAAGCTAAATTTCAGCTAAATTTGTCTGAAACAAAAATATTTGTGTAATAAAATGACTGTTTAATTACTATTTCTGATACAGAAAGACAGATTTATGTACACAGCATATCAATCAGAAAGATTTCTCTGCTTTATTAATCATATCCTCTGCATTTTACATTGTACAAAGATGAACACCAGGTAAAAACTAGAAATAGCCGACAAATCATTTAAAATATATACAAGGTTTGGATTTACAAGGCAAGGAATTCAAACCTATTTTCCCAAACACCTCGTACCGCTGAACAGCAGGCTTCCACGTTAAAGGTCAAAAATAGAATATGAAAGTTAGACAATGGATTGTCATTTTGCAACTGGGTGGAGACGAAGAGGATGTTCTACTGTGGCACGAAGTGCTAAAATGCAAAATACCCTACGTACCTAGTTTGGAGATGGAGTAAAAAGCTGGATGTCTAGTCGCTATGCAACTACCTTTTCCAGTGCAAGTCAGTCTTTTATATTAAGCAAAAAGGGAACAGATTGCATACTTCAAAGTGAAAAAATGGACTTAGTTGCCCATGCTCCACAAAAATACATTAAAAATCAGGAATCAACATGGATTCTGATTGCTGTGGAGACTGAACTGAAGTTTTGCTGAAGCTGTGATCCACTTTGTGAAATTGCTCTGTAACGTCAAAAAGCAGCAGGTATCAAATCTTCAAAAACCGATAAATAAATCTGGTTCCGAATGAGAGGCAGCAGAGTAGAAGCTGAGGAATGGAGTGCGAAGTCCAAACAAGATCACCTTTTTCTGTCCGTTATACTTGAGATACCCCAGGAAACTCGACCAGGCTTGAAGTTTACTAAAAGTCTTACTCAGTTCAGACAAGGAAAGTAAACATGATACTGTGCTATAATACCAGTACTCACATTATCAAGATACTTTAGTTAAAAAAGTTATAAAAGTATTTCAAGGCACTCTGCTTTGGAAGAAAAAACACTCTTTTTCTTTTCTTTTATTCTGAACTCTGTTTTTAGAGTCATGAGAACTCTAGGCAAAACCACATCGTTGTTTTCAGACGTAGGCCCCTAACGCCGCATGGAATTCAGTCAGGCACTGTACCAGTTGCTGGAACTTTGGCCTCTCTTCACGATCCAAGGCCCAACAGCAGGCCATCACTGCAAAGCTGTGAACAAAACATTTTTTTTAAAATTACATCAGGTGCAGGACAGGATGACAGTATGTACACCTAAAAATATCAATTCAGTTAAATACAAGTCCTTTACATGAAAGTAAATTAAACATCTGATCATGTACATCAATTCTGTACCCCCAAATTTTGTTTTTAAATACTATAACAGAAGTACAATATTTTAAAACAAAATATGGGTTTTATTGTCCTCCCGTTATAGAAAATATAGCCTTTCCCTCCTTCTCCCACACTATTTTGCAGCTTGCACCGTCTCCTCCCTGTGATGCTTTTGATGTTGACTCTATGAAGTGCGTGCAACAAAAGAACTCCAAGTATTCAGTATTTCGATACAACATTCTTCCTGCTGAGTACTGCTCTGCACGAATCAAATTCTGTGGCACAATACTAATGTAGTTCATCTCATTTTTACAATCCTTTATATGCAGTTATACATACATCTATCTACCAATGAATACTATCAGCTCACGAATTAGTGTGTGTTCCATTTATTCTGTGTATGCAATTAAGTTTAGAATAATAGTTATGTTCTTATTTATGTCAACAAGATAGCTAATGAATTATTTGGATACATATGTAGATATTGTAACTTACAGTTCATCTGGGCAGTTGATTGGCTGAGCTATTCTGTAGCCATCCTTAAGATAAGCCGCCATTTCAAAAGGATCAATGTCAACATATGGTGTTTGTCCCAGAGTCATCAGTTCCCACAACGTTACTCCAAATGCCCACTTAAAAGAAAAACAGATTTTGTACTCATAAACTTAAAATTTTCATATTGTGTTGTATGTTTGTGTGTAGGTGTGTGTGGTGTGCGTGTGGAGGGGAAATCCATTGTGAAAAGGCATTTCTTTTGAGATGAATTTTCTTGAATCGAATTGGCATTGAGGTTTTGGAATTCTTTGTGACGTCTTTGTACACGCTTGTTTTGCAATGCATTGTTCCATGAAAGCGTCTGGACCACAAAAACAAACTTACATAAAATCAGGAAATTACTTAATGTTCACAGACCCTCCAACCAGAATTAACTAAAAGTTTATCATTGCATAATCAAGGACTCTTCCTGCTTTGCACATCAAATTATATATGATGTCGGTAGCGACGTGATGATTTGGAAGTTGACCTTTAAGTACAGTCAGGTGTGTTGGGAGCGAGTTGGTCAGCTTTGTGCAAGTACAGTGAAACTAGCTATTATTGAATGATATGGATTCTATGGATCCAAAATAGCATTATAATCGGTTTCCATTTCATATGACAGTCTGCGTCTGATTCTCAAGCACTCTCTGGGCCACAAAGAAAACAGCAGTTTGGTGTATGGAAACAATTTGCCAAGTAATTGTAGATCACTGAGAAATTAAAATAATGAACAATTTTAAATCTAGGTTGTTTTAAGATTTACATAAACCTCTCATAATATAATCTTTGTAATTTTTTGTGCCAAGTTGCATCAAGCAATTGCTTACCACATCACTTGCACTGGAGAATTCATTGTTAACAAGGCTTTCAAGTGCCATCCACCTGACTGGCCTATTTTCGTTGTCTCCTAAGCAGTGGTAGTCCATAGGGAAGAGATCTCGAGACAATGCGTTGTCTGTAATCTTCACCTGTAGGCCGTCATCAATGCTGAAGTAAATACACAATTTAAGTTGTATAAGTGGAATTAACATTAACAAATATAAAAGAAGATGTGAAATTCTGTTTAATCAGGAAACATAAATATTACATTTTACTTACAAATGAACACAACTACTACAGTTGATAGCAAATACCTAGGAAGGACTTCAGATGTTTCAATGCTGTAGCCAATACAGTATACATTGGGCAAGGTTCCTCACTGCTCTGTTTACCTAGCACTAAGTAGGAACGCGTTTGTTAGTCGATAAACGGATCACTTTTCCGGGGATAATAATCCCTTCAAAAAAATAATAATTTGGTCACTCATTCCACGACAGTTTGTGGGACACTGCTGTGCTCAAATGACTGCCACTTTTCGTCCACAAAGTATAGTCAATTCACTTTGTAGTGTATTCTGTGAAGCGCTTTGAGACGTCTCAATGACATGACAAGGCGCTAAATCAAATGCAAGGATTATTATTATGTTTGTTCTGATTTGTCAGTGAGCACATTCTGGGCGCCAGAGCACACACATTATCTAGTTTGAAATATTTATGAACGACGCAAAATATAAATATTTGCTTCCTTCAACAGTATTTAAAACCAATATTCCCATTGGGTTTGATACACCTTGTGTCAAAATCAAAGATGTATTTTGAATATTAAGTACTTGCTCCCAAATTCCCCCCTCTAATTTCTCTCTATTTCCATTCTAAAAAAAAGTACCTTTTGTGGAAAACAATTTTATTATTCGTAAGTAAACAGAAGTTTCCAAGTAAACTGAGCAAAAGACAAAAATGATAATGAACTGGCTGTATCATGCAATAATGTACTTACACACAATTTCGGGCTGCCAGGTCTTTATGTATAACTTCTCTCCTGGCAAGGTAGCTCATCCCACAGGCAATCTGAATGGCCATATGTACAAGGTCCTGTTGGGATATTGCCTGTAAAAACACAATACAGGATGATCATTATTATGAGCTTCATTGGTCTTGCACACTGGCCATTTACCAGGCTAATAAACATCCGACTTCCGGATTATTAGGTCGCTGTGTATATCGAAACACGAAACGGCACATTTGATAGCTTAATGACCCAGAAGTCAGCGGTTTTATTAAAAAAATTAGATTTCACATCAGGGATGCCATCTCAAAAGAGCTTTACAAAGCTGAGCTGGGGTTGGGGGAAAGGTGACCTAAGTATGTTTGAAATTGTCATTCTTAAGGTAGGCTTTTAAGGTGAAGAGGGATGGGTTAGGCAGGGGGACTCTGGGATGTAGTTCTGGAGATTGAGGAAAGAATGGCTGAAAGCACATCCAAACACAGTGGGTGGGTTGAGCAGAGGGCGTGAAGGCCAGCCAGAATGTGGGAAATGAGTGGGCCTTCAGCCGATTTGCCCCCACTCTCTGGAACTCCATCCCAAGTACCTACGACTCGTCCCTTCCCTAGCCTCCTTCCAATGCATGCAAATGCAACTGCATTAAAACCAAATTACCACCATAAAGTGTTATAATGGGACCACAAGCAAGCATAAAATGATTTTATTTCACTCCCACATCAGCTGTTCTGTTGAAAGGACCTTTCTAGAAAGTAAAAGTATTTTACATCTCACTGTAAACTGTATATTTAAATTGTAAATTGCAATATACAATTTAAAACAAAATAAGTAAAGTAAATTGAGCTTTTATTTATATATATCATAACTCATTAAAAGGGGGCTGAAACTGGAAAGCCAAACAGAACATCTGTCAAAATGATTACTCAAAATGAATGGCGGGTTGTTTTATGAAATTAAGTACTTTTAGTTTATTGTGTTAAGTTTATATTGTCTGATGTCGTGCAATCTGAATGCCTGTTGTGACAAAAATATTGAGAACTTTGAAGTGTTTATTTCCAAGCATTTACGTTTCTCATCCACATGTAGATTTCTGCTGATTTATTTCAGGAATATTGCGTCATGCTCCTTCCTCCAATTTACTTTCCCAGAATTTCAGCAATGCAAGTGGTATCCGTATTTGATGCAGGAAGGTTGGATCAGCTCAGATTTGGATCAAATCATTTTAGCTGAACCTGAATAGCTGGCATCAAATCACCAATGGAGACCAAATTCATCTCATGATTTGTTTTATGTTAGCATCATTTCAGGCATGCAACTCGGCACTGTTATTTGGTATTTTATTTTACCCTACAAGAAGAAATTATCCACCTGCTTCAAGCTGCTAGGACACGTACTAAATTAAAATGCCAGAACAAACTGCAGCCAGATTCCAAAACTGATCCTCCCTCAAGATGTGCCAAATATTCAATTTGTACTTCCCACAGCATTTTGATTTACGCAACTACAAAAATAACCACAGCAGAGGAAAATTGGAGCAGATTCGCCTCAATGACTTTTAAGGAGCATCGTAATGTGTCTGTGGAAAACTGAGGTCTCTGGTAAGAAAATGGATTTTCAGTTAACTGAAAAAAAAGGTCAAAATAAAAATAAAACACACATAGTGCCAATTCTATGTCACTAATTTGTCTAAATTAAAAAAAATTCAACTGCATTGTATGACAATTTACTTCAAAAATAGTTTTTCAACTCTACAAACTTAGGTGCAGATCAACAGTCATTTTACAGTGCAAATATCATCATGGCAAGAGTGTGAAGCTGAATTTGTGGGTGATAACATGCAGCAAAAATACAATTTCATAAAATATGGCTAAAATGTTTCACTAACTAGAAACCAGACAAGGTCTAAACATTTTGCCATTAACATACTGACAGTGAGTTTTTTTCCAACTTAAGTATTTCTGTTCATGCAATATTGTTAAGTACCAAATTATCTGACTTGTGTTCTGACAATCAAAGATTCAGCAATGGCTTGAAAATCGTTGTCAAGAAGTGCTTACTTTACTTATTTTATTTTACTTATTAAGTGATAAATGCCCACTGAAGAGTTAGGATGATCAATCCAGATCAACAGTGCCCTCTAGTGTAAGCCTCAATTTCTTCCTCACTCCCTTTACTTAAAAACTATTGCTAAATTAAATGCAAGCAACTAAGATACATGCAGATCAATACCAAATATAAGCCTTGCACGTTAGGATTTTGAAATTACTCAGTTAGTGTGCTGTAAAGTCCAAATGGAATAAAATTTTGTCCATGTACTCGATTTAAAAATAAAACCATGCAATTTGTTAAAATGTAGTTTTTTTTCCTCCAGTTTCTTCTTTGTCCTCTCTCCCAAGAGTTTTCATCTCCTTTTCTTTCCATTGGGATACAGGAGATTGTACTCTAGTACTGGCAAATTGAACCTGCTTGTATGACTTCTCATTTGCTAAAAATGGGTACTCTGAAGCACACAGGGTTTCCATATGTTTTGCACATCAAAAAACTGTAAAAAAAAATCTCTAAATGAAAGTACACAAAATGTTAATAGTGATCAATAACTTACCTGTGGGTTGTTGGCCTCAGCAAGCTTGCACTGTCGAAGGAAAAGTTTCAGGTTTCCCCAATTCATGTAGGGCAGCAGTACCATAGGTTTCTCTCCATCTTCTATGCAAACGTGACTAATTGGCAGGAGATTTCTGATTACAAAAATAAGGTAAAAAAATTCGACATCAACAAACCATAAGAGTCCAGAATATTTTTTTAGCAATTTAATACTTACGGTGCCAGTCTGGCTCAGTTGACAACACTCTCACCCCCGAGTCAGAAGGTTCTGGGTTCACGCCCTATGTTGGGACTTTGAACAGTCGAGGCTAACACACACTACAATTCAGTGCTAGATGAGCAATGCATTGTTGGAGATGCAATCCTTTAGATGAGATGTTAAACTGAGGTACCACCTGCCTGATCAGGTGGACATTAAAGATCCATGGCAACTAGCCAGGTTCACCAGCAGACTAGGTGCAGGGATTCTTCTCACTCCCATCTCTGTTAACCCTGCAAGCCAAAACCTTAATAGGTAAGCTGATCCAAGATGGATGTATTGTGCTCTCAATCACAAGCTTTGCTTTTGTTTTGTTTAAACTTGAGCAGTACCTTCAATGCATATGCTGGGATCCCTAAGCCTTGACTCTCGCTAACCTGTGCATAATATGCTCTGAAATTAGGTAAGCAGGATGCATCCCTCCAGGGAGAATTTACATTCCATTCCAGACATAAGGATGTTTCCACGTGTGGTGTCATGCATATGTGGATCACTCAATCTGGTTTGTATACTCTTAAGTATGATGATGGGTTTCTGCATGCACTACGATAAGCTGCTGATCAAAGACAAAAATAAAACAAAAAAAGATGTTCTCATTACATTATCCATACTATCCACACAGTTCCAATAGTTCACTAAACTTAATTCTAAACATATACTATTCTAAGAAAACAGTGTCATGTGGACAGCATCAATCTGAATTACTGCTGGGATACACATGGCCTTGCACATTCACTAACCCAATTCCAAAATTTTAACAATGTTCTTATGTCTATGAATTTCCTCTCACAGTCACTTTGCCTACCACTCATTCTGAACCAGAGCTGCTTTACACTTAGAGGGATAGAGTTTCAGTGGCACAAATGGTACTTTCCTATCCTTGACTTTTCTTAGGTTTCATTATATTCCTGCAGCTTTTTTAATAAAAAGATCCAAACTGAAAACCAAAAGAAGCTTATACCACAAGAAACATTTTGGGGGCGCATCTTGTGAGAACGGATAAAAAATAAATCTTATCACAGCATTGTTGAGTTACTTTGCTACTGGTAATTCAGAATTCATCAGGATTGTTTTCTCTGCTCGTTCAACACTTAGCCAGATCCTCTGCTCTCTCTTTTGTGAAATATTATACCTCCTTTTAATACATCTGAGTGATGTAAAAAGTCCGATATTTCATGTTTAAAGAAATTAAAATGTTTACTGTTTATAAATCCCTAGCCTCTCCGTAATTACATTCAACTAAGCAGATATACAAGTTAATGCCTGACTGTAGTTTTTTTTTACATCAGTAATGTGTAGTTTGTTCAAACTACTGTTACTTGTTGTCTTGATTTATTTCTAATATACAGACACAACTAAAGACACAAAGGTCAACAACATTGGTATATAGATTGTACACTACACATAATGCACAAATCGTTACAAAAGAGAATGACATGCATTAAAGAACAACGTATTATAACTAGTTTTACAATTTAGAGTTTCAACCTTTTCACGAACTGGGTTTGTGCGGAGAAGGGCAATGACCAAAATCCAATTACTGATTTGAAAAGATAAGGCTGAGTTGATTGCAAAATCATTGGAATTAAATATGCATGTGATAATGAGGAACCTGAAATCATAACTTTCTCTTTTCTCATAGTGACTTTCCCCCTCGTCTTTGCGATAATATTGGAAATGGTCAGTTCTCAGTCTTTTCCCAAATGGACTTCTATAAGCTTTCACAGAACATACATGCACATTCTCCAGCTTGCCAAAGTAAACCCTTGAACAAGAGACCCATTAACTTTCATACATATATATATATATATATTGCTGTAGGGAGTCTGAAACTCGATCACTGTATTCATTTTTTGAGTGTATTTTCTGTTCTTGCTACATTCTGGGGATTTGTCACAGTATCAAATTTTAGTTGCAACAATGAAGCAAGCAACCTATACTCCATTTACACCACAACTTCTATTAAATAAATCTCATTGGATATAGCGCTTGAATGATTTTTTTTCTGTGTGTTAACCAAAAGGAGGGGTGTCAATGTTAAGGAATGTAATATTTCCGAAGCACTCAGAAGCACAAACAGATGCTAAATATTCTGTCACCTTAATCCTAGCCGCAAAATACCAACAGCAATACTGTGACATACACACTTACTCTAAGAAATCATTCTGCTGTGAGATTGCAAACAGCACAAAGTAGTACATCAGAATGCCTCTTAACTGAATGTGTGATTATGTCGGCAACATGTTTTAGTTCCATGCGGTACAATGATTCTTTCCCCAGAGCAGCACAAAGTGGAAAGATCCGATTTAGGTAAATTCAAGAATAGAAAGAGACACAGGAATATAGAGACAGACAGTGGTCTGAAGGCACTCAATCTAGAATCAGTCAGCATTAGTAAATACCAGATATTAATTTTTACAGCGTCCAGTGGCAGCTTAAGACATATTTCATGACAAGAAATTATCAGCGGTCAGGCCAGTCCAAAGTTGGCACTTTTGCTGAAAACAATAGTGTTGTAGATTCATCACATAATGCACATTACAAGACCTGCCTGTAGCATTAACAAACAAAGCCCAAGGAAGTTCACAAAGCTAAAATATCTCATTAAAGATAAAGACTTAATTTAAAAGTTACCTTCTTCGACATGGGATCACTTTAAACAAAATACTTCTAAATTTACATACAGAGTTGCACGGAGCAATATGGCACTAAAGGTCATTCAGCCAACCGAGTCTGTATCACTGTTTAAAATCCACATGAGCTGCCACCTTCCTTTTCTCATCACCCCTCTATTGCCTTCTCTCTGATGTATGCAGTTCAATTAGTACAAATAGGAATTTATATGTTTCTCTCTGTGATTATGAATAACCAATTATGTGACTATGTGATTTGATTATGTTTCAAGTTGGCTCAGTGGCCGCACTCTCGCCCGTGAGTCAGAAGGGTGTGGGTTCAAGCCTCACGTCGGGGCTTGGAATCACATCGTCTAAACTGACACTCCAATGCGGTGCTGGGATGTGCTGCATTGTTGGGAGGTGCTGTCATTCAGATGAGCAGGTAATCTGATGTCCTGTCTCCCTGCTCAGGTGGAAGTTAAAGATTCCATGCCACTATTCAAAAAGAGAAAGGTGTTTCTTCCGGTGTTCTAGCCAACAATCCCCCAAATAAAATTGATCCCTCAATCCATGAAGTTTGTGCTGTGTGAAAATTGGCTGCCACGTTTCACCCACATAATTCAGTCAAACCACATATACTGTGAGGTGCTTTGAGACACCTCGTTGACATAAGGCGCTGTATCAAATTCAAGTATTATTATTAATAATAACAGATGTGCAAGTTGCAATGTAATGCGAAATGTTCATTACATTTGCCTATATAACATCTATTTCTAATCAATTACCTTCTAAGGCGCTCTCATTTATTTTACATGAAAGGTTATATGGAAATAGAAGTTATTATTATTTATTGTTAAATCTACTGTTCATCAACTTACCGATGGTGGAGGCCACGCAATTTGCAGCTCTCTGTTAACATCATAGTAACTTGCACTTCAGATGCATGATCTGAAAAGCAAAACAAAAAAGCTAAAGGTGGGGATAAAAGCACATCCTATCACATTATGGACAAACACACCATCTGTGAATTTTCATTTGCAAGTAAGATTATAAGTACGATTTAGAGGGAAATTTAGTGACAAATTATAGTGACAATTATTCTGAATACACAATATTTATTAGAGGGTGAATATATAACAGAGACTATTGAGAGATCGAAATAGAAACCATGACTGGAAGATTGGATTCACTTACCTTTCACTGTTTTAGCGAAGACATATTTTTCCTTACTGGAGTCTTTTTCATCAACTAAAACCCCATGGAAAATACGACCAAAAGTACCTAACAGGAAACATAAAGAGATGAGAAGCTGCTGGTCAACCAATTAAAGGTCACATGTAGCCTTGCAGGATAAGTGTTCAACATAAGTGCTGACTTGTTATGAGCTGATAATATACTATTTGTTTTTCCTGAATATTCATATTTAAATAATTAATTGATTATTAATTGGAGCTTGGTCGCCACATGAGGGCTAGGGGAATAGAAGGTTATGGGAGGGAGTAAGGAAGGATGGAGACTCATGTGGAGTATAAAAAAACGGAACAGACTGATTGGGCCGAGTGGCCTGTTTCTGTGCTGTACATTCTTTGTAAATCTTTGCAAATGTGAACGTATATGGCAGTTTGGCATGCTCTCATTTCATGTTGGTACAATTAACAACCCCAGACTGTCTCTGAGCAGACAATTCACAACCTTGAAGCCATTTGGTCCCCATTTTTGAATGGTTTGTTAAAATGGAACAAGAGTGCTGCAAACCCATTCAGGGAAATTGCTTATATTGACATTAATGAAACAACAGAGGGCCATCTCCCAGAGCTCCCAGCCTGCTTGTTCTACGAAGGCCCTGCTGTTGAATGTTTTGTAACTGGCAACCTTTGTTTTTAAACTTCATTTTTACTCTATTGTTTCTTTGTTCAGCTTCAAAATACACAGCACTACACTTTACTGAAAATCCTGTGATTTGAGACCTGTTGCATCTCACTTTAAGATGTGTGCCCAACATGAAAGACTTTATAGCAAATGAAAGAATTATTTTGCCCCAAATATGTACACATTTGCAAAGATTTACAAAGAATGTACAACACAGAAACAGGCCACTCAGCCAACCAATCTGTACCAGAGTTTTACTCCACGAGTCTCCAACCCTTCCTTACTCCCTTCTATAAACTTCTATTTCCCTCTACCTTATGTGAGAGTCTAACTTCCGCTTGAATGCCTCTATACTATCTGATTCAATCACTGCTCCAGGTAGCTAGAGGAGCATCCTGATGTGACAGAAATTGGCAGCCCACTTACAGTAAACAGACTACTTAGGACATTCAACAAAACTGAAGCTAAGTATAAATATACAAAACAACTCATAATGCATTCAATCAGACCTCAAGGCTGAAACATAAAAACTGCACAATTTTGTGTAATGTAGAAAATACGTAAAATGTATTACCTTCTTGAAGAACATCTTTGAGTGTGACTCTCTCTCTGGAGATGGCGATGTCCTTCACTCTGCCTTTAGCCTCCACTAGTGTAACACTTTTAAGGTCATTCTTTTCTATCCTAAGTGTTGGATAACCTGAAGAACAAACAAAATGAAATAAACATGTCAATACATTGCAATAATATATGTGATGGGTGTATTCGAGCATTGAATTCAGAATACCCCAGGATGCTTACCTTGAACATTAAAACAAGGCCAAATGGTGCATTACAGAGTGGAATGAGTGTGAAAGAGAGATAGCAAAGGAAAAGTGAGAGGAAGAAAATCAGTAGAAAGAAGGGACAGGATAAATAAGGTCAAAGAAAAAAGCAGAAGAAAAAGACTGGAAAGTAAAATAGGCAGTTGCATTTCAAATTTTAATACTTAAAATGTCGGATTAATTAAGAAGTGTTTGATAATCCACCATCGGTGGAGAGGCAAATGGAACATAATAAAAATATTAAAATTGCACGAGTTAGGAAACTGATTCGATTGCATGTGAAAATCTTTTTTTTTTTAAATCTGGGGATTACCCCTCCCCCCAGTAAAAACAGAAAGGGAGAACTACACATTCAGAATCAGAGCGAGTACTTTTCAGAGACCACCACATGATGTTTTATAAACTGCTCATTTAGTTTCAAACAATCAGAAAGTGCACAAAGTGCTGCAAATGCACCTGTATGTTTTAATAGTGGATGGTCCTCTGGTAATCGAGAAACTTCCAAGTTCAGGTATATTTCTTTATTACCTGAGAGGAAAAGGGGAGAAAATGACAAAAAGTACTAGAAGGGCAAGGTTTTAAGTACACTAGTAAATATCGAAACTTGCATCCCCAATGACAAGGCTGACAGAACCTACTGGCTAGTGGGCGTGAGTTTCTGTTGCAGAATTGAATCCTAAAGTTGCAAAGCACCAGATAGAATCCTTGACTTAGTAAAAGATCAGCTATCTTATTTGGTAAAAACAAAAGGATTCATAGCGGAAGTTTAGAGTGGGAAAGTTCCAATATCCTAATAAAATTGAATGGAATGACTTTGTGTGATGAAATTACTATAATCAGACACTGCTTTTCAGTTCGAGTTCAGCAAAAGAAAAAACATCAGTCTTTTTTTTGTGAAGCATCTACTCAGTAAAAATTACATTTGCAACATGAGCTTCTCTTCTAACAGTTCAGCAGAAAATATTATAAGTATGCAGGCCAGTAAGGTCCTAGGTTCAATCTCTTGTCTGTGTTTTGTTAGTTTATATCAGCCACAGTAGCAGTGAAGACAGATGCTGTGATTGGTCCTGTGTCCTCCAGGCTAGAAAGTGCAGTCACTGTAGAGTTCACTTGGGCACAATATTGGAGAACTGCAACTGTAACAACTGCATGTGTTTCTCCCCAAAGGAGACAGCAAAAAAACAGAAAAATGAAAACTTGCTCTAAAAGCAGAGAATACAACACATCTGTTGGACTGCCAAGAATGCAGCGATTTAAGTGAACTGAACATTGTCGCCACACTTGAAGCAGAAAATAAACGATGGTGTTTTTTTCAAAGAAACAAAATATTGGAGAATACAATTATACCACAAAAAGCTGGTACTACAAGGGAGTCATTTTAATTATTTCAGTGGGGGAGGAAGAAAAGGGAGAGAGATAAAGGGAGTAACATAAAGCATAAAGGTAACATAAAGCTAAGTAACATTCTATTTTTTTGGATACAAAATGGAGTATATCAACCTACCATTCTATTAAACATTAAACATTCTACCGTTTCCATTTTCACAATTCTTTTCAAAGGTCTGCAACTTCTGACTGTTCCAAAATTCATCGTCATGACATTAGTGCTGAATATTAGCTATTAAGAGGAATTTTTCATCCACAGACAAAATACAAACTGTAAGTAGTTTGCAACCTTCCTAAGTATTCATGTATCGAGTATAAGCTTCAGTAGTTATGATGAGCATCTGATTACTTACGACAGAACAATTATTTGTGTTGCCTACTGGTCCTAAAGACTGAAGAGTTTAAATTACCTTTATTTTTGATAGAAATTCCTAAACAAAGTTGCTGATGCCATTAAGTGCATGAAGCTCACCTGACTTTTTGGAAGCTTGGGTAACGCCATTTTGCCTTTCTTCTTCAGGGCTGCACCCAGCAAGTTCCTTCAGATCACTTCCTATGTGGACAGGCAGTTGAGTTACAGCCATATTTTCCATGTTATCATACCAAAATTTAAGCCAAAAGGAAAACACATTGGGAGGGATCTTCATTGCCCACACAGCAAGCGATGCAAAGGAACTTTCCAGGGCAAAGCTCAAAATGGAAGGACAGAATGGTTTATAAATCTCAAGTTAGAAACCTGCAGTTTCTGCAAAACTAAAGTTTATTCAATTGAAGACAAGCAGAAATTAATTAAATACGGTATTTGATCAGTAAATATCTCTATTCGGAAACTTTGAATAAATTATGCAACTACTTGCAAGTCAATTCTAGCATTACACTGCATTAACTTGCATTGAATCAGCATGCAAATTGATAGAAAATATGCTGGAACATTCTAAACACAAGACATTGAAAATGCGCAGCTTGGTAAAATGAGTAGTGTTTTGATAAACAGCTTCCTAATGCAAATATAATTATACTAATATTTTGTAAATTTGTTTTATGTAGGGAATAACTACACAGATAAAATAATACACAAAGGATTAACCAATATGTTTTAAATTTATGCCGAGATATTAAAAACATTTCTAGATATGAGCTTTTGAGCTCCCATAAAATGACTAATTGCACCACAATATTCAAGAAGCAAATGTCAGCCATCAATGCATCATTAGTCAAAGTCCACCAACATATTATAATTATTGTCGGTCTGCGCGAAGGCATTGAATTTGAGAACTCTTTAATTGTGTTCTTATACTTCAAGAGAGGTTTTAAAACTATTAAGTCTTTTTCGTTCCATACTTTTACACTCATGTTCACTCAAGTGTACACATCTGTCATGTTCCTCTAGATGGCGCCAAAGTAGTCTTAAGTTCATTGACAAAACAGATCGGATATGTTAGGAAGATGAAAGTCATATTTGTAGATTCTTACATTTTTATGATTGTGTTACCGGAACAAAACTCTCAATACACAGCTAGCATTTCTAAAAGTTTGAATATGTCTTGCATGGGATTGAAGAGTGAAAACCTTTATATTTATCTGTCAATCTTCTCCTATCCCAAAATAAAATGTGGGAGAGCTGTGGTAGATGGGGTCTGTAAAATCGCCATCCGCCTTCTAACAAGGCATGATTGCCAGTCAGCGGCACACAATTTTCTTTCTGACAGGTGACAATATAACTGCCAAAGGAAGAATGCGAGGAAGGCTTATTCTGAGTTTGTAAGCATTAAAAGGGGAGTTAGGAAAAATAATGACATAGTATCATCAATTTTATAAATGCAGAGAACACTGCAATAGAGAGAGAGAGAGATAAAGAAGATGCCACAGATGAATGAAAGATCACCTATCAGACCAGACATTGCAGTTCAGGTTATGGAGAAATATCGCCAAAATCCATAATACGATTTTGTGCAAAAAATCTTCATAAGGATGCACATATTGATAGTACAAGAGCATTTTAATCAACAATGGAATTTTTCTGCACAGGTACATAAACTGGCAGCAGGTTTTTTGCGTGTGCAAACCTATTACAACTACTGTACAAGTTTTAATATTAAGACAGAGTACTGGAGGAGGTGGGGGAAATGGGAAAGGAATGGTACTATGGAAATCCTCTGTGGTGACTACCCAGATCACCACAGAGGATGAGCTCAATTCTGATAATCTACTGCCAGGCTGCCAACTTGGAGCCCCAAATAAATCTCCCTCCCACGACAAGGACAATAGTCACTAGTTATCATTGACAAGCACAGATTTGAGCCCTCACACGAGGGGGTGGATTGCAGCCACTAGAAACTGCTTGCAAGTTTCTTATTGAGGAGTGTAACTCAGCATGAAATTAATCAGATCACTGGGAACATATAGTCACATCTGATTAAAAATAAAAACAATTGATCAACAGACCTATTGTGAAATGTGATTGATATTTTGTGAGCAACAGGGTGGCTGAAACACCTCTCGCATTAGTCTAATCAACACTTGCAAGGGAAACATTGAACACATTTTCAGGTTATTGCAAATTGAGAAACCCTTACTGGTTACAGGTGCAGCATTGTTAGGTGTGTCTGCTCTCAGATACTGTGTGGTCTGGGTGGAGGGCTGTGACAAGCCTTGAGAGCTTGCACTGTCACTCATACTGAAAAACAGAAAAAAGCATTAAATAATATTGCATCAAATTCCACCTTGTTTTTCTAAAAAAAATCTTCGAGAGTTCAGCATTCAATAATGTCTTATTAAAAAGATATAAATAACAGATTGTGATTGATTTACCAGTACATTTTATATAGTTTAACTTTCTCCTTGGAAAACAATGATATTATGCATTTTTGGTCATCACTTTCCAAGTGTAAGACTGTACTAAGAACACATTTTTGGGGAGAAGCACTCACACATGCATTTTGACTTTATAATGGAAACTTTCATCTTTGGGCTATTGTACAATTAAAAACAAACTTAAACCAAAGATTCAGTAAATATAAAAATATGGATGCCTCAAATTGCAAAATAATAATTAGGCTCACCTATCATCAAGTTCCACTCTCTTCATACTGTGCAGATGCAGCACAGCTAGTATTATTGCCACCAAGAATATGACTGCACAGCAAACTCCAACACTGATGTAGAACACACGGGTGGAGGTAGTGGGTGCTGCGTTCACAGCATCAACTATTAAACCAAGAGCACATATGAAAACACAAAGTTTAAACCACATTTGCCTTTATATGCTCTTGCACTGTTTATGTCAGGAATTTCTGAGAATAACCATTTAACTGTACAGAGTGAGATACTTAGTTCATGTTTTATATTTCAATTTTCAAATTTTTAATTATTTTAATAAGTGTCATATTATGTAGAAAATACCATCAATATTTATTAAGTTTTATTGTAATACATTGTACTGACACTTCTACATGGAAACACTACAAGTGCAGTATAAATTTTCCCATAAAACATTCCTTCCCCTCCTTAGTTAATGACTACAATCTTAGATATCATTTACGCTCTCTCAAACTATCAGGATTAATAACAGCTCCATCTACTCCTTTATGCCCTTGGCATTCAACTCTGCGAGGACTAAGAAAGCAATTACCACAAGACATCACTACTTACAGGAAGCCCTTCCATCTTTGCTGCTGTTTTTTCCTGCATAAAGAGGAATTTTTTCTTCCTGTTCAAGTTCTAAAGAGATTAGAATAAAAACTTGACTTTTCATTTTTACTATGATCATTAATATCAGCTGATAAAATTATATGCATCTAATGCTTCAATATCATGGTAACCAATAAGAGTTTTGCAATGTTCTGACATCATACGGCTGCTTTTCTACATTATTTGACCATGAGTCAGGCCTGACTAGAGATTCAATACTCATGCATTTACACCGAAACCTGAATTTTTTTATACTTCTATTAACTGATTAAATGTGCAAGAGAAAAATATTATTTATAAGAACTCTTAACTACAAATGCAGTCTTATTTTTAAAACATCTTGCTGAATGCTACTGCCTTGCTTCTATGTCAAATCAAAATGATAGAAATTGTTTGGTTTGACGATAAACAACTCTGGTATTACTACTGACCTAGCTTTCATCACCACAACTAAAAACACAGACACGAGCATTCCTTACTTTTGTAGCACATTTTCCTACGTTTGAAGTTCAGTACTGTGATGTTCTTTGAAGAATTAACGGTCAGGTTAAGTTGCATTACCATTGTGACCTCTGAATCAAATTTTCCTGTGCAGAAGAGATCAATTCGAAATACTGCAACACACAACAAAAATTGTCATCAGGCAATTAATAAATAGTAGTATTGTCAATCAAATGTCTATACAAATAAAACCCCAAATAAATTCATTCTCTAATTAGAGCTGTGAGAACAGCCTGTGCTGGCTCTTTGAAAGAACAATCAATTCAGTCCCATTTACCTGCTTTTCCCCATACAATGCAAATATTTTTTAAAACAAAATCTATCTGCAGCATAGCCTTATTATAAAAAGCTTTTGTAAAGCACAAGCTTGTTATTTGGTTGCACTGTGTACCCAATTCACTGTGGTGCGCAGCAAACAGGAAGCAGTATCAGGCATGACCTGGAAGTAGGACATCTTTTCCTTTTAATATGGGAACCAGCCAATGATTCTTGTTGATTTTTACATTGATTTTCCTAAAGATACTAAATGTCAGTAAATTAATCTTTTCTCACCTGACATGATACGTGGAACCTCTCCCTGCACAGAAATATTGGCTTGGGGGATGTCCATAGCTGCAAGGTTATCGACTTGAAAACCCAACTTGTATTCAACCTGTCATTAAAAAGTTTGAGAACAGGTTATCAAAATGGTTATCCAGCTTTGCTGTCTGGCTAATTAAGCTGGTTGACGCCCAGCTAGAATAATTCAAATATTTGACACTCTAGAAGTCAAATACAACCCTCCATTGTCACTAGCAAATAGATTGAAAATAGGTGTTTGGTATATGTCTAATTATGGTCAATAATGCTCTAAACAGCATACAATTCAAGCTACGGACTTGAAGCTATGAACCAAGCATTGAGTGATATACATGGAAACAGATCATTTTGCCATCGTGTCGTGTTTATACTGTACATGAGTCTCCTATTCTCTTCACCTTTAACCTGGGCCAATAGAAAAGTACGACTCGCTACAATCCTGTGAAAACCTGGGCCTCTGTATGCTGTTCCTGGCTATTTACTCAACACCACGACTGTGGGCGGAGCGGTTCCGGACACGCATGTGCGGTGCGAGCGGGAAATGGCCCTGCTGTTGAGTTTATCTCCTCTCTCCTCTGTATGCATTTGTGTGAGTATGTATCTCTCTCTCCTCTGCATGTGTGTGTGTTTGGGAGTGTCTCTCTGTGGTCTGTGTGTCTCTTGAGTGTCTGTGAGGGTGAGCCTCTCTTTCTGTGAGTGTATGTGCCTCTCTCTCTTTCTGTGAGGGTCTGCGTGTGTGTCTCTCTCTCTCTCTGTGTCTGTGTGCAGTGGCAGCTCTGAGAGACAGGAGGAGGTGATGACAGACAGGATCACTTGTGAGCTTGGAGAGCAATCTTGGGTGCCTTCGATGCAGGGTGGAAATAGACCATTTAGCCCTTTGGGCCTGCACTGGTGTTCCACCACCCCCCACCCTGAGTGGGCCACCCAGTTTTTATTAAAGAAAGCATTGATCATTTTTGGTTTTGTAACAACATATGTGTTATTTCTTCATGTTTAGTGTTTATCAATAAAGTGAAAAAATGTAGGTTGGCAGTAAAATGTAACTCACAATAGCATCAATTAACTCCCTGCAATTTCCCAGCAATTTTTTGGCAAATATATATGTAATTTACTATTGGCCCTGCCAATAACCCTCTGTTCCCTTTTCTCTCCTATATTCATCATTTTCACTTAAATATACTATTTGCTTCAACAAAAGCTTCTGGCATTTCATATTCTTGTCACCTTCTACATGCAGAAGTTCCTCCTAAACTTCCTATACTGGGTGACCAAAACTTTGTGATACCATTACAATGTCTAATAAGTCTTATAGAAATGATTTGCTTTCTTTTTAAACAGAGTAGATATCACAACATTTTGGTCACCCTGTATTTCTGACCTCTAGTTTTAGACAACCCATCAATGTCCACCTTGTTGAATCCTTTCATCATATTGAATACCTCCTTTCTCAATCTTTATAATTAGAGAGAGAAAAAAACTACAGCCTTTGTATAACCTTTCTTGATAGCTGACATTTATACATTACATTGATTGATTGTACAGAGGGCTCCCTCTGCCTCCTCGACCTATCGGCCGCATTCGATACGGTCGACCACTCTATCCTCCTCCACCGCTTGTCCTCCCACCTCAACTTTCAAGGCCCTGTCCTTGAGTGGTTTAGGTCCTACTTCTCCCACCGTCTTCATTTTGTCTCCGCTAACGGCTTTTCCTCCAGCCCCCGCACTGTCTCATGCGGTGTCCCTCAGGGCTCTGTCCTTGGTCCCCTCCTCTTCACCCTCTATATGCTCCCCCTTGGTGACATCATCCGCAGACGTGGGGGTAAATTCCACATGTATGAGGATGACACCCAACTCTACCTCTCCTCCTCTACCCTCAACTCCACGACCACCGATGTCCTGACAGCTGTCTGTCTGACATCGAGTCCTGGACGAAAGACAACTTTCTTCAGCTCAACGTGTGAAAAACTGAGGCCCTCCTGATTGGCTCACGTCAGCGCCTCCGCACCTCAGGCGCTGACAGCATCAGCATCCAAGGCTGCACTCTCCACCTCGCAAAGCCAGTCAGGAACCTCGGTGTTCTGTTCGACCCTGAGCTGTCCTTTCTTCCCCACATCCGCGCCACAACTGGCACCGCCTTCCACCACCTCCGGAACATCACCAGACTATGGCACTACCTCACCCCTCACGCTGCTGAAACACTGATCCACGCCTTTATCACCTCAAGGCTGGACTACGGGAACTCTCTCCTCGTCGGCCTTCCCGGCACCTCCCTCCACAAGCTGCAGGTCATTCAGAACTCTGCAGCTCGTGTACTGTCCCGCACCAGGCTTCGGGACCACATCACTCCCACCCTCGCTCGCCTCCACTGGGTCCCAAACCCCCAGAGGAACGAATTCAAGGTCCTCATCCTCACCTACAAGGCCATTCACAGCCTTGCTCCCTCCTACCTCTCCGACCTACTATCCCCCTACTTACTTGCTTTTTGTTCAGTTAAGAATGCTATGTTTGGAGCTTACAGTGTTGAGAAACATGGCTCATAAACCAAATCCTACCCAATGCTTACAAAATTCTAGAACATCTCTTTCCGGCACGTGCATTATTGTAACATGTACGAGTAGATTTGCTCAATTTATTTAACTTTTAAAAAAAAACTTACCTTGGATTTAGCATGCCAAGTAAAGTGAAGACTGTTGGTCTCCCCCGGAACAACCAAGTAGAAAGAGAGTGCATAGTGACTAACAACATCATTCCGCACATAGTATAACTCTGCATCGAGACCTGTGGGTTTTTTGGGGGGGGCGGGGGGAAGAGAGAAGAAGAGACAAAACATTTGTAAATAAGATGTATTGTACTTACAAGAGAGAAAGAGAGACAACACACACACACAATGTCCAACAGCCTGAAGTACTGAGGAAAGAGGGCCATAAAAAAAATCTGTTCAAAGACTGTGCCTACAAGTGAGTCACTACATTTAACCCCCGCAAAATTATGTGAAGTACTTTGAGACTTTTCAATGGGATAAGGCGGTACATCAAATGCAAGTATTATTACTACATGATCACTGCAGAATCACTTAAAACAGCTCCGCAGTAAGATGAGGCTAATCAACTCTGCAGACTTCACTCCATTTATGCTCCAGGGTTCAACCAGTGCACCAATGGCAACACAGAAAAGAAGCTGAAACTGAAAAACAATATATGTAGATTTCAAAGGGGCAACTTTATTTTTAGACTGTGGATCTAGCCACGTGTGCAAAGATAAAGTTGAAAGCTTACCTCTTGTCTACTTTTACTAACAATCTTTTGGAAGAAAACATGATCCACTGCAATCATCTAATTGCGGCCATCTCAAAAGCAAAGAAGGTTCACAAGAGTGTCTGAACAGGTCTCAACAACAAAGGGTTAGATTTAAGTTGCTTGTACCTGCATAATCATTCAAAAATATGCATTATAGTATTTCTTGAAAGGACTTTCAAACTTCTTGGCTGAGTGCCCATTTCCAATTAAAAATACAGACTTCCTCGCAGAGCATTTTGCATTCTATTTTTTTCCACAACAAACAAACAGGGTTTATCTTAATCTTATAACAGAGCACTTTTAGGCTAGTTCAGAAATGTCCCAGTTAAGAAATACCCTTATCAGGATACAGTGTAATCTACAGTTACACAAATGGAGCAATTCAAAGCAAACCACAAACTCAGTTTTTTTAAATTAAAAGCAATTCAAGTATTTGAACAAATGTGTGAAACAGTGGATTCATTTGCCTTTTGCACAATGTTCACTTTTATCAAAGACAAATGTAAGTCAACTATTAGAACATCACTAATTTATTTTCCAAAAGATATAAATTATATTTAGCAAGTTTAAACTCACACCGATCACACATGCTGAGCTATGGCATTCTCCCTCCTGCAATAATAACCAACTACTAAATGTCATAAAATGAATGTTTTGGTGAGGGAAGGGGAAGAGGGAGCAAAATAGACAGGTGCAACAGAATTACACAGGAAATACATTCCGATTACAGAAAAGGATGACAGTTTGATAATAGGGTGGATGGAACAAGTAATAAAGTATGAAAGCAAGAGAACAAATTTGGCCTTCGGTGATACACCACAAAGCTGGGGTCCCAGGCCATTGTGAAGTTTCTGCGGTCAGAGTTTAGGAATGAAGTAAGTTTCTTGAAAACTGAAATTCATGCCCAAAGCCCATTTATTCCCAGTTCCTGTGCCAATCGATCCCTGCAATTTAAGATTGAACAACAGACAAACTAAATGGCATTTGGAATCAGTGAATGCAAACAATGAATGCAGAATTAAAAATATTTTTTAAATATATACCTGCACAGACGCACATCCCACACCTTCAAATCCAATTCCCTAATATCACAAGCATAAAATTGTCTGCATAGCCTTGTATGTCGGAAGCAATTTGAGAACTTCCAAAAATAACAGGATGAACAAGTGGAAAATAATGTTTTGTTGGGTTACAGCAAATGTATTATACTTTATTCAGCTTTGTTAAATGGACCTCGCTTCCCCACATTCCATTGTCCCCAAATCATGCCTTTCATTATTCAACCATTCAACATAGAAGCCCACAATTAAGTCAATTGCTTTAATGATGCCACATAATAGGCCTTCAATGATAAAGAAACAGGATTGAAATAATAAGCATTCAAGTACAGAACAACCTGATTGTAGGAAAATTATATAAATAAATGTTCACATTCCTTCCCTCAGTTTTCTTTACAATTCACTTTGACAGCAAATGCTATATTTTTGAAATTTTGCATCTAGGCAACCTTCTTTAATACTGCATAACTGTTCATCCATTGTGAATCATGTGATTAGTGACTGACTGTACAATATTCAAGTTTGATTTGCTTGCATATAATTCGGAAGGTCTAGAATCTGTCAGTGTAATTAAGGCTCCACAGCAAAAATACATGCTTTTGTCACCCTGAGGCTACATTTCTCTAATACTTTCCTTTTTGGCTTCTCTTGCACTATCGTCCATAATCTCCAACAATTCTGTAGTTTGTGTTTTCTCCCACACGCATTATCCCCACCCTTGTCTGCCGGCTTCCAATAATCCAATGGAACCATTTCAAAGATTAGTGCCCACTTTACAACTCCCTCCCAAATGTTCTTGCCTGGTGCCTTTTCTCCCTGCTTTCAATACTGCCTTAAAAATTGATGACTATTCCTTTGGTCAACACCATCCCCTTCTTTCTCCCTGTTCGGTAATCCCAACATCTTTGTAAAGTGTTACTTTAACAGTGTTCCTTTGCAAGTTCTTTCTAAAGAACGCATTCATATTATAATGTGGTTATCAATGTAGTTTATTTTCAGACCACAAGGTGCTTTTCTCCACCCACCACCCCCCTCCCCCTCACCATTCATTACATTTGAGAGCTGTAAAGTATTCTGCAGCAATACTGGAAGCAGATGCAATCAGCTAAATATTTTAGGCATGAAATATAACCTTGACCCAGACATGCTGGTGGCAGTTATGTTATTATTCAAATGTTTCACACAAAGAAAAAAAACACAACTTGGAATGGGTGCACTAAGAGAAGTTAACATTCTCCTTCAAAGTTTCTTGGAATATTCTATACTGGGCAAAACTGTTTGTGGAATAATATTGTACAGTTTGAAAGCTTCCACCCAACTGAACACATCTTAACTAAGCAGTAAACCTTATAAATTTGTGCCAGCACATTTTTATATTGTTGTTTCACCTTTGAGGCCTCATCACAGTTTTGCCTGGATTAGAGCTGGGATAGGTAGGAGTGAAACCAGGAAAGCACAGAACAGGAGCAGGAAGGACAAACGGCGGAGATAGTTGGTGTGGTTGAAAATATCAAAGAAAGTAGTCAGGTCAAGAGAATACGGAGGCAAAAGAAGCCCTGGTCACAGATGGAGAGAATCTTATTGATGACATCAGTTCAAGCAGTCTTGATGTTGTGAAAGAGGTAAAATCCAAAGAAAAAGCTTGGAAAGCTCAAGCAGAGTGTCCATGACATGAAGGAACAACAGGTGGCTCATTCCAGCATCTCAGAGACGAAGGGCAGGTTGGAGGTAGGTTGGTAGCTGGACAGCATGGAAAGGTTGATAGGGTGGGGGTACTGTAACAGCGGAGAGTGAGCAGTTAATGATGTCAGCCAGTGGAAGGTGGGTGGACAGCATTGACATGGGAATCGGGAGCACGTGGTCCGAGATGAGGGAGGAAATGGGGGAGATAGCATTAAAGGAGTGGAAGCAGGAATGGATGAGCGAAAGGGGGAAATTGTTACTGCCATAGCTTTCTCTTTTTCCGCAGAGAACATTTATCTTCCATTTGGCAATTACCTGCAGTAAAACCATTGAAATCAGAAGCTCAATATCCTGGAAGACCTGCCAACCATCACTCTTTTGAACATTGTTCAGTGTTTCTCCAAATTTGCCTCAACCAAAATACTGATTGGGAGTGAGGGCCTACCAAAATATTAGGAATACTGCACCAGAGCAAAAGTTAAGTTCTTTTTGAATATATATTGAAATCTCATAATACGACCGTATAGATCCAACAACTCCATATAATCAAAGTGCAAAAAATAGTCAGCTTCCTGGTTGTCAGGTCGCCGCTGAAGTCACTGCCTGAGAGTTCCATGCATAGTGTTCAAGAAGGGACATTAGCAACACTTCCCGTGCCTAGCGCATTTGCACAGCTTGCAGGAAGTGGCATCAGGGATGTTTCGGCGGTGTCCCAATGTCCTGAATCTTGGCTGTTTTTCGGCGCAGAAAAGCAGCAAGTTAGCATTTGAGGTGTGGATCCTAGAACTATTCAAGATGTTTATTTTTGAATAATAATTGTGAAAAATCCATTAATATTTCAATACAATATATAATTAACAACTTTACTGACAAAAATACACTTTTCCTTGACAGACAACTTTATTTTGCAAGCGGTTGCAAATGCACAACCTGCTGGCTCTGAAAAAGGATTATTGTAAGTTACTGAAAAGTATATTTGTCTGCATACCATAACTTGTGATGATGCAATTGCCCACATGTGAGTGAGTGACAATGCAATTGTGAATAATTAGATCTTCATAAAACAGTAATTAGTGAGCTGTAATGTGAAGGGCACAAATTCAAAAAGGTCACTTTATAATTGAAACTGCTAACATGTCCCTACTGAACAAATACAAAACACAAGTGGTTTGCACATTATTTTTAGTGTCGAGTTTCAGCATCTGGGACAGTAAACCCAGACACAATTAATTGCTTCCTGTCAGCAGACTGGCAAAAGCAACATGGGCAAAAGTAACACACAATATAGTGAGCGTCCAAGACCTCAGTGTTGGAAGCTGGCTATTTTGCCTGGGGGCACAGATTCTGATCCAAACCTACATAAGTGTATTTTAATGTACATTTCAGTGAGTAAAAATTGGTTCTCTATTGTTTTGTGAACCACAAGAGCCAGGATTGTTTTTAGGAAGAATTCACTGCTTACAAAAATGCAGCCAGATTGTGCAATAAAACATTTACTGATCACTTAGGTTCCAGGTCAGTCATTTTTTCTAGGTCTTCATTTCAATCACTCCCACCCTCGCTCGCCTCCACTGGCTCCCCATCCCCCAGAGGATCGAATTCAAGATTCTCATCCTCACCTACAAGGACATTCACGGCCTTGCTCCCTCCTACCTCTCCGACCTACTATCCCCCTACCTACCTGCCCTTACCCTCCGTTCCTCTGGCTCCGGTCTGCTCCACATCCCCCACCCCAACCATC